TCATTGAACTGCTATCTCAGCCTTACTCTTCACTTTCACACATTGGACTTTATTTTCTGCACCCAGTCACTTTACGTTAATGTAAAACATTCATTAACTTTACATGCACAATCAAATTAATCTGTATATTGTCTGCAGTTGTGTTACAAAAACTATCATTTATTATCAGTACACTGATAAAAATATACACACAATCTTCCCCGACTCCTTTGATCAGTGTCTAGTCCTAACTGTTATGTTGTTGTGTGTTGTATATTGTACCGAACAGTTTACTGTACAGTGTGTGCATAGTTTGTTCATATTTACTGTATTTATTATCTCTCTGCACTGTTGTCTGCTGCTGTTCTATGTTAAATGTAGCACTGTGTCCTGGACAAACTACATTTCATTCCTCTGAAGCAAAGAAGTCTAGTTGAAACACTGAAATGATCAAAGTATCAAAAACGACCTTAATTACATTTCAGACAGTAAAATCACAAGCAAAAAGAGTTCAGATTTCTATTTATATTCTAAGAGTCTTGCTTTATGGTCTCAAAAAGTCAGTTATATTTAATTTCTGATCCTCAGTCATCTGCTTAGTGAGCCCATGGCTGTTAAATATACACACAGCACAGGGATTCGAAGGGTCAAAAATTTATATACAGGAATTGTCTACTATTAAGGCCTACAAAAAAATAGCTGCAAGCAGCAATCATAGGGGTTCAAGCACTATCAGTCTTCATTAGCACTATAAGTTTCCACTAACAGTGTTTGATAATTATGAATATTCAGTATCTTAGAAGGTTCTCAAGATACAAACTTCACATTGCTTCAAGTTGTCAAGTTGTCCTTTGCTTTGGCATGGATAGCTCAGGTGGGATTTGAACCAAGCACTTTCTGCTTGGAAGGGAGATGTCTTCATGGTGAGCCACAAGTGGCCCATGGCAACACTATCTTTTTTGAGACAATTTATTGGTAGAGAGTAAATAGTAACCAAGCACTACCAATGCTAAGCCCTTCAAATGCCTTTTTAAAATTTTATTGGCCAGTGGTGGCCATATTTGTCCAGACTAAGTTGTCCTTAATATGTCACTTATAAAGTAGCCCACAGATGCAGCATGCAAAGTTTCAGCTCAATCGGCCAAGCGATTGTTATAGCACCCCCCATTGAACTAGCGGTACCAAACTTGTTTGGCTTCCACAGAATCATGTGGGGTATAGGGCTGTTAAGTATCATGAGAATTGGTCAAAGCCATGCCTATGTGTAGCCACTTATGTGAAATAATGTAAAGCCACGGGAGCTTAATTGGCAGGTGGTGGCCATGTTGTTTATATATTCAATTTGTTTTGCTGATTCTTGACCTCCAGACTCCCCTGAACATTGTGAGACCACATGTGTGGATATCTTGAAAACCTCAGACTAATAGAAAAATGTTGATGTCCCATGTTTTGCCAATTATGATGGAGAATATGGGTATGGAGCTAAATACATCCAGTGGGATGTTTATGTGAAATAAAAAAAAAATTATGTCGAACCAAGAATTTTGAGTGTAGGACTACACGGATACTACACTCACTCTACAAGTTTGGTGTTTGGATGATTTACGGTGTCTTCTCCACAATCAGTTTCTGGGCAGAAAAAGAATAATATAGATGCAAGCGGCAATCATAGGGGTCCAAGCACTATTAGTCTTTATTAGCACTATAAGTCTCCATAAACATCAAAAGTCTTTGATAATTATTAAGTGTTCAGTGTCATACAATGCTCTCAAGATGCAAACTTCACACTGCTTCAAGTTGTCCTTTGCATTGACAAGGACAGCTCACTGTACATACAGTACACCTTCTGTCATTCTGTACAAATGTTTCAAATCTGGTTATAATAAGGCAATTGCTTATGTATTTATAGCTTTTGAAGTCAGAATAAATCAGGTCACAACAAAGTTGTTCAAATCTTGCTGCAACATTGTGCTTAAAAGTTGTGGTGTTTTTAATAATTATTTAAGTTCAGACTCCAGAGATTGTTTTAAGAAGAAAATTAGAGGTAATTTTATGTAAACTCAACAAGTAGTAAGAAAACATCTGTTTTCAAACTTTTATCAATTGCAGAAAAACTTTTTTTTTTTTAAAGAAAAAGAGTCGGTGGAATGCATGACTTGGACCAATTTGTTTTTCCACAACAAACATACAGTTAGATGTGTGTTTGCTTCTACATTCAATGTATGCCAACTGCAATTACTGTTGGAGCTCCTTGCATTGACTGGAAGAAATATTGTAACATATTAAGAACCTACTGAATAATGGTAATGTGCATTTATTCCAAGTTTTATCACAATGAGATGTAAACTAAGGAATATGTAGCCCCTCAAGTCAGAAAAAGACAGTCTGAACATATTGATTGATGTCTTGTGGCCTTTCTTTGCAATAAAGTCAAGATTTTTTTATAATTATTTACCTAAAGACTCCACAGACTGTGATAAAACCAAAGGTGAAAAAATGTGATTAAAATTCACAGCCTAGTTCAAAAAGCTCATTTTTCAAACATTGAACAATTGCAGAAAAAACCTTAAAGAATTTTAAAAGACTTGTATTTGATAAAATGTCATTCTCAGAGTAAGCCATGATATGAAGCAATATATTTAAATCTAAGTAAAAAGTTTATATTAATCTTGCTTTTGTTGTATAGAGCCACCTCAAGGCCAATTTACTTTAAACTTTATAGGCTACTAGAGCTATATGGACACAGCGTACAAGTTTTGTGATGACTGACCAATGCTAAGCCATTCAAATGCCTTTTGAAATCTTATTGGCCAATGGTGGCCATATTTGTTTGATGATTCAGTTGTCCTTAATAGGTCCCTTATAAAGAAGTCCACAGACGCAGCATGCAAAATTTCAGCTCAATTGGCCAAGCAGTTGCGGAGAAACAGATTTTTTATTGTTCTGGCGCCCCCTATTGAGTAATTGGTATCAAATTTGGTAAGCTTCCACAGAATCATGTGTGGTATAAGCCTTTTAAGTTTCATGAGAATTGGCCAAAGCAGTCCTGATCTGTAGCCAATTATGTGAAATAAGCTAAACCCAGGGGGGGCTTAACTGGCATGTGGTGGCCATGTTGTCTATAAATATTTCTTTTTTTTTTTTGATACTTCTTGACCTCCAGACTCCCCTGAACATTTTGAGACCAATATTGTGTGGATATCTTGAAAAACCTCAGACTAGTAGAAAAATGTAGATGACACATATATAGTCAATTATTATGGAAAATATGGGGGTGAACTAAATCCAGTGGGACATTTATGTATGCCACTTGGGGTCATTTCACTTGCTTGAGTAGTGGAGGGAATACCAAACCTACAAGTTTGGAGTTTGGATAACCTACAGTGTCTTCTCCACAATCAGTTTAGGGCAGAAAAATAAGACGAAGAAGAAGAAAAAGACGAAGAAAAATCCTAGCAGAAGCAAACCTATGGTGCTTGGAATCTGAAAAATCCTAGCAAAAAACAATGGATGGAAAAAAGACGGAGAAAATACACAGAAGACCTCTACAAAAAAAGATGTCAATGGCCAACAGACTATTGTTGATGTTGGCTACTCAGATGAACATTTAGTGTTAGAAGATAAAATCAGACAGGCCCTGAGAAGATTGCCAAGAAAGAAAGCCACAGGAATCAATAAGAAGATTTGGTTAAAGTACTGACCAAGTTATGCTAAAAAATCTGGAAACAGCGTAGTGACTGGCAGATTGAAAAAGGTCAGTTTATATCCCAATACCAAAGAAGGGCGACAAGAAAGAGCATGCAAACTATCAAACAATTTCTCTAATATCACACGCCAATAAAATTACGTTTAAAATCATTCAATGCAGACTGAAGTTTTACATTGAATGAGAACTGCCAGACATGCAAGCAAGATTCAGGAAAAGCAGAGGAAGGAGAGACATCACACTACGACACTCAGCAGAAAATCTGGAAGACCTGAAGACCCTTAAAATGAAGGATAAAGAACAAAGTAAAAAGATAGGAAATCACCTTAATATGAAGAAGACTAAGATTATAATGACAGGAGACTGCAAACTTTACCACTGATGGAAAAATATGGAAATAGAGGACAGCTTTTGTCTACTTGGATTATTAACAACAGAGGACAACAAGTTTACTTCATGCTCCTTTGTCTTTTGTCTTCTTTCTGTCAATGTATTTTGTCGTTAGTGTTCATTATGTGTTTAGTCACTTTTGTAGATTCATTTCCTTCATTTTCAATAAATCAAAGGACTTGCACATGCATCCTGCCTGGAGTCGCCTGGAGTCGAGAATGACTTGAAAGCACCTAATAAAAATAAATTATTTTGCCACCTACCCCTCAAACTGCAAAGAACACTATTTTGCACTATAAGAACACTATCCTGCAAAGAATACTATTTTGTTCATGCAGCAACACAGGACACAGTTCATCTAGATGTTGTTTGAATAATTCAGATGCTGACTTTTGTTAAGAGAACACAGTTAATATTACCTTCTGATGACCAACAGTGGGTCAGTGCATCACTATTTCTGTGTCAGCCAAATCCTCTGTAGACCACTGGCAGTATTGTGGGGGTTTTGCTACGTTTATAAGCAGTTTTTCTTAAATTTTTCTTGGCCTTTTGGTCTAATGTGTTATAACGTACACAAACTTTAAAAGGGGACTCTTCTTTTCTGGTCCTATTAGCATTAATGAGATCTTGTTTACACCACAAATCCTTTAAAAGTGAGCCACAGGAGTCTCAGGAAGTAGTCTGAGTTCAGGTCATCTGTGGGGCTGTTAAGAGAGTTTGAGTTCAGTTGGCATGTTCACGTATGCACAAAAAACATGACTTAGTGGTCTGAGTCCACTTATAATACTGAAACAGTCGCAGTGTTTTGGACAGTACAATTACAAGCAGGAAGAGTTTATATATATTTTTATAGTATTCTGAGTCTTGTAATAATAATAAAAAAAAACTTACCAAAAAAAAAAAAACAAATATGGAAGATACTCACATAACTTCAGAGCAATTTTTCCTGCAGCTTTTTCTTTAAATCCTTTAGTGGGTAATTTCTTATGAGGTTCAGCAAACGAATGCATTCAGGTGAGTCATCATGCTGCTTCTTTTCTGACTTCTCCATCTGCACTGCGGAGTCATCATGCTGCTTCTTTTCTGACTTCTCCATCTGCACTGCTGAGTCATCACGCTGCTTCTCTTCTGACTTCAGCAAAGCAGGTATCACTGATGGGGTAAATGAGAAAAAATTGTAAAATATATATATATATATATATATACATATATATACATATAGATATATATAAATAAAAAGCTTTGCCTCCTAAAACTGTTACTTTTAGAACTTAGTAATAATTAGTAATAATTATAACATAGTAATAATTCATAAGAATAAATATTATTTAAGATGTACTTCCCTGTTGTCTCATAAAGGCATTTACAAAAACAAATATTACATAATAAATGAGACATAAATAATGTAACTGTCAGTATATCTAATTTTTTTTTTTGTTTTTTTTTTTTTTTTTTTTTTTTTTTTTTGTTTTTGTTTTTTTGTTTTTTTTTTTTTGTTTTTTGTTTTTTTTTGTGTTTTGTTTTTTTTTTTTTTTGTTTGTTTTTTGTTATTGTTTTTTTTTTTTTGTTTTTTTTTTTTTTTGTTTGTTTGTTTTTTTTTTTGTTTTATTTTTTGTTTTTTGTTATTTTTTTTTTTTTTTTTTTTTTGTTTTTTTTTTTTTTTTATTTTTTTTTTTTTTTGTTTTTTTTTTGTTTTTTTTTTTTTTGTTTTTGTTTGTTTTTTTTTTCTTTTTTTTTTTTGTGTTTGATTTTTTTTTTTTTTTTTTTTATTGTTGTTTTTTTTTTTTTGTTTTTTGTTTTTTTGTATTTTTGTTTTTTTTGTTTTTTTTTTTTTTTGTTTGATTTTGTTTTTTTTTTTTTTGTTTTTTTTTTGTTGTTTGTGTTTTTTTTTTTATTTTTTTTTTTGTTTTTTTTTGTATGTTGTCTATGTATTGTTGTTTTTTTGTTTTGTTTGTATGTTTTTTTGTGTGTGTGCTGTGTTGTTTTTTGTTTTTTTGTTTGTGTGTTTTTTTTGTGTGTGTGTGTTTTTTGTTGTGTGTTTTCTGTTTTTGTTTTGTCTTTTTTGTTTTTTATGTTGTTTGTTTTGTTTTTGTGTTTGTGGTTTTGTGTTTGTTTTGTTGTGTGTTGTGTATTGTGTGTTTTTGTGATGTGTTTCTTTGTGTGTTTTGTTGTGCTTTGTTTTTTGTTGTGTTTTTTGTGTTGTGCTTTGTTTGTCTTTGTTTTCGTTTTTGTGTGTGTGTATGTTTGTATTTGTTTTTGTTTTTTTTGTGTGTTTTTGTTTTTTGTTTTGTTTTTTGTTGTGTTGTTTTGTGTGTTTTTGTTTGTTTTTGTTTTTGTTTTTTTTGTTGTGTTGTTGTGTGTTTGTTTTGTGTGTTTGTTTTTTTTGGGTTTGTTTTGTGTTTTTTGTTTGTTGTGTTTGTGTTGTGTGTGTGTGTGTGTTTTTTTTTGTTTTTCTGTGTTTTTGTGTTGTGTTTTGTGTTTTTGTTTGATTTTTGTTGTGTTTTGTTTTGTGTTTTTTTGTGTGTGTTTTGTATGGTTTTTTTGTGTTGTTTTGTGTGTTTATTTTGCTTTTGTGTGTTGTGTTTTTTTTGTGTTTTCTGGTGTTTGTGTTTTGTGTTGTATTGTTTTTGTGTTGTGTTTTTGTTTTTTTTGTATTGTGTTTTGTTTTTTTGTTTTTTTGTTTGTATGTTTTCTGTTTTTTGTGTTTGTGTTGTATTTGTTTTTTTTGTTTTTTTTGTTTGTTGTTTGTTTGTGTGTGTGTATGTTTTTTGTTTGTGTTTGTTTGTTTTTTGTGTGTTTTTGTGTTGTTGTTTTGTTTTTTTTTGTTGTTTTTTGTTTTGTTTTTTTGTTTTGTTTTATTTTTTGTGTGTTTGTTGTTTTTATTTTTGTGTAGTTTTGTGTCTGTTTTTGTTTTTTTTGTTGTTTTGTTTTTGATTGTTTGTGTTTTTTGTGTTTTGTTTTTTGTGTTTGTGTGTTTTTGTGTTTTTGTTTGTTGTGTGTTTGTTTTTGTTGTTTTTTTTTGTTGTGTTTTTTGTGTTTTTGTTTTTTTTGTTTTTCTGTGTTTGTTTCTTTTTTTTGTGTGTTGTTTTTTTTGTTTTGTTTTTTGATGTGTGTTGTTTTTTTTGTTTTTGTTTGTTTTTTGTTTTGTGTTTTGTTTGGTTTGTTTTTGTGTGTTGTTTTTTTTGTTTTTGTTTTGTTTTGTGTGTTGTGTGTGTTTGTGTGTTTTTTTTGTTTTTTGTTTTTTGTTTGTTTTTGTTTTGTTGTTGTGTGTGTGTGTTTGTTTTTGTTTGTTGTTGTGTTTTGTGTTTTTGTGTTTGTGTGTTTTTGTGTTTTTTATGTGTTTTTTTGTGTTTTTTGGTGTTTTTGTTGTGTTGTTTTGTGTTGTATATGTGTTTTTGTTTTGTGTAGTTGTTTGTCTGTGTTGCTTTTGTTGTTTTTTGTGTGTTTGTGTTGTGTTTTTTGTGTGTTGTTTTGTTTTTTGTTTGTGTTTTTTCGTTTTTTTTTGTGTGTGTGGTGTTTTGTTTTTTTATGTGTTTTTGTGTTTTGATTTTTTTTTGTTGTGTTTGTTTTGTTGTGTTTGTTTTTTTTGTTGTGTTTTTTTGTTGTTTTGTTGTTTTGTGTTTGTTTTTGTGTTTGTTTTTTTGTGTTTGTGTTTTTATTTTGTCTTTTTGTTTTTTTTGTTTTGTATGTTGTTTGTGTGTGTGTGTTTTGTGTTTTTGTGTTGTGTGTGTTTTGTTTTGTTTTTATTTTTGTTTTCTATTTTGTTTGTTTTTGATGTGTTTTTGGTTTTTTGTATGTGTTTTGTGTTTTTTTTGTTTTGTTTTTTTGTTTTTTTTTTGTTTTGTTTTTTTTTTTGTTTTTTTTTTTTTTTTATTGTTTTTTTTTTTGTTGTTTTTTTTTTTTTTTTTTTTTGTTTTGGTTTTTTTGTTTTGTTTTGTTTTTTTGTTTTTTTTTTTTTTTTTTTTTTTTTGTTTTTTGTTTTTTTTTTTTTTTGTTTTGTTTTTTTTTTTTTTTTTTTTTTTTTTTTTTTTTATTTCTTTGTTTTTTTGTGATTGATCTTAAAAAAAATATTTGTCAGCCAGAGATCAATAGATAATGTACAGTTTTATCAGGAATGCTACGAGTGACTTAGATTTCAAGAGTACGCAAGATGTCAGAGTACTGTTTTTATCCTGTATAGCTATTTTATCTACTCTACCATAAAATTTTAAATTGTTGAGAACTGCGGCGTCTTCTTATAAAGATAAATAAATGAACATTAAAGCTCAATGAGGCATGTCATCATTTTTTCTCTTAAACAAATATTGTAATATGAACATAAAAGGATTCGTTTGCATGCAGTATAAAATGATCAGTCAGCTCCAAGTGTGATGTCACAGAGAAGATCCTGTCGAACACTGTTTAATTTTGAAAAAAAGTTCCTTTAAAAGAGAATTCCCAACAATTATTCTTTAACATTTCTGTTAGATTTCGAGTAGTTAACAGCAAAAGTCAGTCCAGACGGTGATTTAGTCGGATTGTATCTGTTTTAGAAGAAAACTAGAGACTTAGTTTTTTTGCAGTGTAGGAGTTTTTCATATTGTACTTTAAAAAGGTAGAATTTATTTGTATATATTTGAATAAACATCAAAAAGATCACAATAAAGAGTTTTTTACAGCCTATTTGCTAAGTTTACCAGGGGTGCTATGGATTTGGCGACCAAAGACTTGTAATATTTTATACATCCCATTCCATGCTGGGTAGGGGTAAAAAAAAAAAAAGCAGATTTACACTATTTTCATCATCAACATTCCATAATAAACTCAGAAGACTGTTGTATGGTTCACTGGTGTTTTGATAGCTAATTAAAGTGGCTCATCTGTGTTGTAAGTCATGGCAACACCTCTGGTCCTATCACCACCACTGTGAAGACATCTACATTCACACTACAAAACCACTCTGAAGGCTGTATCAAACACTATAGAAATTTAGATTTTTTATTTTTAGAGCAGGGAGCTATAATTATTTGAGCTTCGTGGACGTGAAACCAAGGAGCAGACGTGGTGACTGGTCGTTGTTTGATGAAAGGTGGGGATCTGGGTGGGAAGTGGAGGGTATAAGCATGGATATCAATTGCGTTTATTATAGAACATGTCTATTTTCACTGTATTCTATGAAGGTTTCCATCAAATATTTGCAAATTTATGCACATTTATAAATTGTCGCAGAAAAATGGGAAAATTAAGCTCTCGCTTCCATCACTACAGTTTGGCGAAGAAACTTGATGACGTAGGCTACAAAAATTACCATAATGCATCAAAACAAGTAAGATGGAGGGGATTAACTTGTTTTTGTTTTGTTAGTCCTGTGTATGGTGTCTCTTTTTTCTCTCTCTGTATATGAGTGTTTTCAGTGTTTGCGTGGCTGGAATGACTCGTGTCCCAGCGTGAATGGATGTTGGTTGGGCCCCGACTAAAAAGGCCTTTGATGTAATCAATATGGCAGCGTTTTTTTTTTTATTCGGCCCTTGCACGATTTCGCTCCCCTGGCTACCCGCCAATCTACAGGACCAATGTTTGTTAATCGTGAATTTGTTGGCCCTAAAGGTACATGTGGAGTCAGTGAAAGCACTTTGTAAGTTTATTGCTTTTTTTTTTTTAATAAAGAAACATGTAGGGGTGGCCTGGCCTTTTTGTTTGACTGTGGACTTTGTTTATTGGTAGTGTAGTGGGGGTTGTGTTTTTGTCATCCTTTTTTTTTTTTTTTTTTTTTGTAGTTAGCTAGTTAATTTTTTTTTAGCGATCTTCTTTGTTATTTTGCCTTGGGCCTCCCTGAAGATTAATGTTTCCTTTTTGGTTTTCATTATTTCAGTTGCATGTGAAATTATTTTGATGGCGGATGAAAGTGCAGAGCATGAATCAATGGTCAAATCTGCAGTAGCATGTTATAGAA